TTCACCACCACGTTGTTGAACACGCGGTGGGCATCGTCTGAATCAACGGTCGAACTGTCAGTGGTCGGTCGGTCACACAGTTCTGTTTTGTCATGCAGTAGGAAAATTACTCCCTCCCGACTGCCCCACTTTCGTCGGTACTGTGTCTTCATTTAAAAACTCCTGTTAACGCTCATAAATTTGATAGAAAAGATTCATTGAGAAACGTGAACGAACTTTATTGTAAATTTTCGACGCTGGCACACCAGGGTATCGTCGGACGTAAGGGAAATGTGTAAAGAGCAGTGCGCATTTTTAAACATGCCAAAAAATCGATAATGTTTTGTCATGCTTGGTCAATAGCAGGTTTTGGTGGTAGGCGTCTTTTCCAGGCTTTTCGAGATTGATGTACATTGAATCCGAATCCGCGTGCCTTTTGATACATGATTCGTTAGAATTTAGGGACTCTAACAATTCGCGGCCCTTCCTATATGGGCAGGAACCTGCTATGCGAGTTTGGTCCCATGCGAATTTTTAGAGGCCATAAACTCTAATGAATTATGCATTAATAGGCACGTTGATTTGGATTCAATGTACATCAATCTCAAAAAAGTCTGGAAAAAGCACCTACCACCAAAACCTGCTATTGACCAAGCATGACAAAATATTATCGATTTTTTGGCATGTTTAAAAATGCGAACTGCTCTTTACACATTTCCCTCACGTCCGACGACAACCTGGTGTACCAGCGTCAAAAATTTACAATAAATTTAGTTCATGTTTCCCAAATATTTTTTTCTATCAAATTATATTTCTTGGGATGCCTATTTTCAAATTAATACTCATAACTTTTGTCGGACTCACTATTTTTCATCCGATTCTGAAACCTCAGTAATCTTAGCAACATAGAAGCAAATTTAGGGAGTCGAGCATTGTTCTATGCCCTCATTTAATCCTGCATAAAATAGATGGGTTACTGGAGTTGCGATATGCCATGCGTGCCAAAATGAAGCCTATGCTTTTATATGAATCCTATCATTACTCGATTTTACAAAATCCTTTTGCAAAAGTAATAAAAAATGCCCGCCTTTTCTGCGCATTTGCGTTCGTTACTTCACAGTTCAGTGTTCACGAATTAGTGCCTAGATATGAACAGCATACCCCGCTACCACGTCTTTTTAAATGTTAGTCGCATGAACTGCGAGCGGAACGAATTTGTACGCTACGTACCAGCTACTTTGTTATTGAAAGGCAGTACAGGAGACTGGGCTACTGAAAGGTTTACATTTCAATCAAAAATGCAGTAGCCATTTTCCCAGAGGACACGATATGTCAGGGTGTACGTTGCTAATGGTCTTAAGGCCAGTCTTAGTCACGCGTAAAGCAAATGAGTCATTTGTAGTCGCGTCAATGACTAAAAGCGTAGACAGCAGGACGGTGTCTGATCGGCTAGACTGTCAGCTTTTAATCTGGGAAAGAAGAACAGACGAGGGACGCAAAATGAACGCGAGCTGGACACTGGGCTTTGCAAAAAGCAAAAATGTGTTCTTTTCCCAGTGCCACTTGAATGCGGTCACCTCTCATTGGCCCATCGGTGAGTCCTGCTACCTTCTAGTTTTTTCTTGCATATGATTGGTTCAGACAACACGACACTCCTGTCAAAGTCAAAAGCTGGACAGAGAAGCTCGTCGAAAGAATATGACAAGCCGCGTAAAAGCGGAGTTAGCAGAAGAGCGGGGAGATGTTTTAACAAAGACCTAATAATAAAGTTGAATCTTCGATATGCCCAAGTTGACTAGACAGCCGAGACGAGGCTAGCGCGCGGGTCTGAACAGCCCCAAATCACAAGGCCTTGGGCCAAATGTCTGGGGAGGTGCTGCTTAGGATTAAAAGGGTTAGGATCTTCAGCGTCAGGTTTATGGTTGT